CAAGTTTTATTAAGTAAATCGCACATCATTTATGACCGGTATTCATTGTTGAGTTTTGAATTTTCGAGTGTGTTTGTTCCAGTTCGTTACGTGTGTTATGGTGTTTGTTATGTCACACACTGGAACTTTATCAAGGAGGCTGTTCACATAACTTAACCGACTACGGTGAAATGAAAAGGGTGTAATGTTATACTGACGTACCTACATAAGAGTGGAGTGTTATACTATTCTGATTTATTATTACTAGTGATCCCTCAGTAGCCGAACTAGGTCCGTTTTTAATTAAGAGGTCGTCGCCTTTCGTCAACTTTTCCACTCGCACAGGACCATAATATAAAAAATGTTTAAATGATAAGAAGCATTTTTTTAAATTTTATTAAATGGCAAAATATAAATAAGTTATTGTTAAAAACACATTTTTAATGTGGCTTTATTATATTTGTATGCTGAGTTTATTAGGTAAACACAAAAGGTTTTTTTTAAATCATTACATATTAAATTAATACTATATTATAGTTCGCCTATTGATTACATTAAAAAACCGCATTTTTAAATTTCAATTTCTTCTTAAATATGGCTCTGTGCGAATGCGAGTAGTCGGGATATATAGTAGGGATAGCCCTTATAATTAAAAAAAAAACAGTAAAACAACTGTGATAAATGGTAAAAATTATATATCTGTACTAATTGTAAACTGTAAACACGTATTTGTAAATTCGTTATATTTCTTTTATGAATAACCTATTTTGATTAGTACCTACTGTTTTTTGTAAGCACATTATTTTGTTAAAGGCTTTAATTCTACTGTGGCGAGTAAATTAGTAGCTAGAACGGACCTAAACATCACGCCACCACTACGTCCGTAGACAGAGAAACCTATAGACAAATTGACGCCTTCTTTCGCATTCGCACACGAAAAAGATAGATTTATGCATAAGTCTTGCATAGAAATGAGATAAAGTGGTGTGATTGTTTGTCCCTTTCTCCGTGCCGGTTTTTTTTGTTTAGCAAACTCTACAGTTTGCTAAACAACTTTAACAGCACAGCGATTTAAGGAGTTTACAAGTTGGTTTAAGTGAGAAAAAAGTATTTTGTGAGCTTAAGATTGGTGAATCTTGTTCAGTTCAGTTCTTAGAACAATTAAAATGTTTATCTAAATGTGTTTAAAAGTCATAAAGATTATTCTATAACCTAAAAATTTGTTATCGTTCTTTCTCACTCAAGGCCACGCCGATCATTAGTCTATAGGTTTCTCTGTCTACGACTACGTCATATATCGGCCGATATCCTACGTCATCGCTAAGCAACGCCCGATCATTAGAGCGCATCTTTGAGTATTCAACCAACCGGAGAGGCCATGCGCGTTAATTCCTAAACAAAAATTCTGTCAGCGTCAGGGGGGCGCAAGATAAACACACAACTGTATACATAACTACAAACGCAAAATTAAACCGCGTCAATATAAACGCACACTACAACATTTGTGTTTGTGTTCATTGAATTTACGCATACCACCAAATTGTACACGTGTCGATACACTGGTGACGCTGTTCAAATGCGTAAGCAACGTAGGCCGTGGACTATGTCGATATTTTTTATCGATAAACAAATCACCATAGTCCGCATAAGTTTTTATTTGATTATAAGTAATACGCAGATAAATAATGTCAAGGTGTTATTTGAAATTCTTTTTTTTTTAATATTTAAAAATGATCTCCGGAAAAAAAAACTTCGAAATTGTTAAAAGTTAGTTTGTTATTTTGCTACAGGTTTATTTTAAATTATGCAGGATAAAACTTAAAACATGTAACAAATCGAAATGGGAGGTTTAGCTAACTTATTTTAAAAATCAGATTTGTAGAAAGAAAAGTCGTATCATTTTATCGTCTTAGATGGTGTTAACCAAGTTTTTGTTTTTATTATAAAGCTTCAATTACAAAACCGCTATTTAAAAAATGTCTTTGATTTTCAAGAGTTATTAAGTGAACTATCTGGAAAATATTTAATAAATTAGAAAAATAAAGAAGTTTTACAAAATATAATAGTTGAACAAAGTGAACTTTAAACAGACAGCTGCTAAAAAATAAAACTTGACATATACCTAGGGCTAAGTATTCTCGAGTAAGATGTTTTGCTTTAAATTTACATTACTATTCACCGAAAGCTTAACGATATGTGCGAAATATCAAAAGTTTTGAAATTTGTCTGAATTCATCAGGTACTATTAACAAAGTGGTATAGTACAATTAATGGCTGACTTGGGTACACAAAAAAGCGTTAACTGTTTTAAAACTAAGACTAGAGAGTAATCCTGACAAGAAATTGTATTGTAATGCTATATGATAGATGAAATGAAAATAAAACAATTGATGGATTACTGTGCAAGTTCTAAAAGACATTTTGGTTATGTTAATTATGGATTTGACTTAATTTCTGACAATTCGGAGAACGCTACTTATGCTTTAGCATTTTTATTAATGGGCGTTAATACTTCTTGTAAAGTACCCATTGGTTACTTCTTAGTAAAGGGTACAAGTGCTGACCTAAAAGCACGACTGGTGACTCAAGCTTCACACATAGTTCATGAAACCTACGGATTAAAAGTTAGGCTGTTGCTAGAATACAGAAAATTTACGGACTACTATATTAGATCCACGTGAAAGACACAAACTTTTTTTCAACAGTATCAGCATATGGCAGGTATCTAACCTGCCATATTCTGAAACTGTTGCGTAATGCTTTTGAGTTTTGTGAATATTTTATCCAAACAGTACTAAATTTATCTTTATTTAAAAACGCTGCACTCATAGCAATTTTTTTAAAATTAATTAATGATATTTTCGATATTGTCGACTCAAAAACTTGGTCCAAAAGATTTCAACGAGCATTAAATAGTAATAACTATCAAAGGTAGCTTTGCTAGGTTGGATGAGGCTAAAGATGTTCTAAAGTTTCAATGTGTAAGATACATAGAAATCAATGTCATTTCTCGTAATAACGTATACAGATGATTTTTAAACGGTCCTCGTTACATAGGATTTTTAGGATTTCTTGTGTGCATTGAAAATACTAAACGCACATTTGACAATCTGGCATTAGGCCCAAACGCTTCACTTACTTATTTATCACTACACAAAATTAGTCAAGACCATATAGAAATTTTATTTTCAAACATCAGAAGTCACGGTGGTCAATATAGTAATCCCTTCGCACGTCAGTTTGAAGCTATTTATAAAAGAATTACTAATACTTATCAAATTGATCAGAACTGAAATAAGCACAAACTGTTAGTTAGTGAACAACTGAAGAAAATATGGTAGCAGACGTAAAGACTTACACCTATTTTTCACTTATTAGTAAAAAAGTGGTTGAATATATAGCGGGCTTTGCTGTTTTTACTATAATAAAAATAAGTGCATAATAATTTCAGGAAATCAGCTGTTGGAGTAACTCCTTCGAACATAGGTAATTTCATTACATTTTCGCAAAACAGCAATGCATCAGCAACACTTCTGCTAAAAAGTTGGGCCGCAAGGTGGACATTTATGATTTTCGTTTTGAAATATATATGATTTGATTTCAATGTATTAGCCATATAAAATAATTCTTCTTCCTAAAAGTCTTAGTCTTAGTTGTAACTTTTGAAGTTTTGGATGTATGACCACTGAATTTGATTTGTGTTTTGAAAAAAACTTCCATAATGTTGAAATGAATTGCGTACTAATTTAAGCATATGGCAAGGATCAAGAAAAAAGTATATTTGTTGCCCTGAAGCTGGATCTAAGATAGTAGTTTGCAGTCGATCTGGGTTCAAGGAGCAGCCCAACTCTTCCGCCATGGCGAGGTTCGTTTTTGTACCATCACATGTCAACGCCTTTATTTCGATGCCAGTTTCATGAACAAGATAGAAAGCCTGTGTTACTAGCCATGCTTTTAATTCAGCGCTCGTACCCTTAATCAAAAAGTTGGCTATGGGTACTTTCCATGTTGTGTTTATACCGATCAATAAAAAAACTAATGCGTCAGTAGCTTCATCAGAATTGTCGGATATAAAATCAAACCCGTAATCGACATAGCCATAATGATTTTGGCTGCTAGCATGGTATTCCGTCAATTGCTTGATTTTCATTTCATCCATGACCAAGGTACAACATTGGTACAAGGTACAACAAGGTACACATTTTTTTATCAGGGTTACTCTCCGCTCTCAAATTTAATACCGTTAGCGCTTCTTGAGTAAACCCTGGTCGGCCATCGATAGTACTGTACCACTTAGTCAATGTCCGTGGTGCAGGCAAACATGTTCCAAAAGTTTTACGTACATAGCGATAGGCTTTTGGTGAGTAATAATTAAGTGTTAGGGCAAAACATCTTAACTCTGGGGAATATTTAGTTCTGGGTGGTTTTCCAGTCTTACTTTTAAGTAATTCTCTTTAAGAGTTCACTTATTAATCAAAGAGGAGGAGGTTAGCGAATCTAGTATTTCTTGCAAATTTGTAACTTTTTTCTTTAAATACCGTCTCTGCGATTGAAGTCTTTTTATGCTATGGTTTTTAATGTCAAGGAATTTTTTCAGTTTAATTTTACTGAGCATATCTTCCAAGTGTTGGCTCGTACTTGCAGTGGGAGTAGAACTAGTTGGGGCTATATATGGAAGTTTCCGGAACATCCAGCTTTCTTTTTTTCGATGTTGTACAACCACTACGATCAGCCTAAAATAAATAATTTACTTATGTAAGTTTGAAGATTCAAGCTATATATATATATATATATATATATATATATATATATATATATATATATATATATATATATATATACAAAACGTAACTGAATCGATTCCTATCATTTTTAATAAAGGTAATTTTTTATCCGAAAAAATAATTAAAACTACGTAGGCGCCTGTCTACGAGTCATGTCCAACCAGTTCAGATGATGATGGAAGCGATGTTGGTTTGTTGACATTTCAAAACCAAACTAATGAGGCGAACGATAAAGGTATGAATATTTTGGATGAATTTAATACAGATAATCCATGCCCATCGACGAGTGGCATAGCGCCGAAAAAAGGAAAATCCGCGAATCCATCACAATGGAAACGGAATGTAATAAAGAAGTCTATTGCTACTGGAAAGGGCTATTTAAACTATAAAGGCCGTGAAATAGGCGAAAGAAAAACTGGACCGGATTGTTGTTGTAAGAAGTATAAGTGTTTTGTTCAAATTAATGAAGAAGATAGGAAACTAATATTGGAAAATTTTAATAAATTCGAAGAAACCTATGTGCAAAACGTATACTTAGGCGGTTTAATTAAAACTGAGAATGTCGAAAGGGAAAGATCTAAAACTGGTACGGGGAAGAAACGGAGTTGTTTACACAAATATTATATTAAATTAGGAAATAGAAATATACAAATTTGCAGAAATGGCTTTCCATCTATCCATGGAATATCCAAAAAGCGTGTAGACAGTGTTGCTAAAGAGTATCGGGATCCTACTGTAACTACACCAGCTCAGTCTAATCGTGGAAAACATCAAAATAGACCAAATCGTATTCCAAGTGAATGGGTTTCTAAAGTTGACTCTAATATTAGAAGTTTCCCATGTCGCGAGTCACACTACAGTAGAAATGAAAGCTCAAGTTATTATCTGTCTCCAGAGTTGAACATTAAAAGGATGTACCAGTTATATTTGAAAAAGCATGAGCTTGGTCTTGAAGCATCTGCTAAGCCTATAGTATCATTTGATTTTTACTACAGATACTTTAAACAAAATTTTAAATACAGTTTTGGGTCACCTCGTTCAGATACTTGCAAGAAGTGCGACATGCTGAGTAACAAACTAAAAGATAAGACATTTTATAATGGGATAGCGATGAAACCCAACAAATACAGATAGAGAAGAGTCTTCATCAAGCCAAGGCCGACACTTTTTTTGTTGATTTAAAAGAGAAGAGTCAACTTGCTCTTAATAATGAAGAATGCGAAGTATTAACATTTGATTATCAGCAGAATATGCCATTACCTAAAATTCCAGCAGGTGAAGCATTTTATAAACGTCAACTTTGGGCATATAATTTTTGTATTCATTCAGCAAAAACAGGGATTGCTCACTTTTATTTATATGACGAAACCATAGGCCGAAAATCACCAAACGAAGTCATATCTTTTATAAATCACTACATAAATGACATTTTACCAAGCACAGTTAAAGTACTGTATTTATTTTCTGATAACGCAGCAGCACAAAATAAGAACTCGACTTTAGTTCAGTATCTATATACGCTTATGCGGTGTTCATCTTTTGAGAAGATTGTTCATCGATTTCCAGAACCAGGACACAGCTTCTTACCGTGTGATCGGTATTTCGACGTAATAGAAAAGTTTAATAGAAGGAAAGATTACATATTTACGACTTCTGAATATGCCGATTGTATTACGCAAGCATCTAAAAATTTTAAAGTTGTAAATGCAAGTCAAAATATGATACTTAACTTCAGCCAACATTAGGAGAGTCATTTCAAAAAAGTAATAACAAATACAGAGAAAATTCGATTCAAAATATCTCAATATCGTATTTTTGAATATAGTAAAGACCACATTGAAACTATTGCAGTCAGTATTACAGTATTTGATTATTTTCCTATAATGAGAAATGCTTAAGCCCAACCATGCATGGCCATGCATTGCCGTTGAAAAAGGCTAAATACAACGATGTTATGCAGTTGGTAAAGAACTATGTTCCACCAAATAAACTATATTTCTACAGGGCCCTTAAAAGTGAAGCTGTCGGACCAACAGATGATATTTCTAGCGAAGACGACGATGATCAAGCTGAAGTTAACCTTTAATTTTTTTTTGTTCAGCACTCATTCATTTTTGTATTTCTTTTGATTGTCTAATTCTTTGTGGACTGATTACTAATTCTTGAAATAAAAAAATAACCATGTTTACCTGTTTTATTATCCTTAATACAAAATAGGGTAGTATTTTTCTTCAATCTTGGTGCAAAACGGAGGCAGATCCAAACTTTAAAAATCGTAGTAATTCTATTACTTCTTCAATTGCCTTAAATCTTTAATAAAATGTGTATATATGTTCATATTATATAATACCATATAACGATAAGACATAAGTACATCAATCAATTTTTAAAAATCTTTTTTTAAATACCCAACAGTTTTGAAATTTGGACTTGCCTCCCTTTAGCTGCAAGGTCCTCAATTACAGCCAAACATTACCTCCCACAAGTTCAAGGTTGGTACTGCAGTGTCGGCTAATCTTCTTTTATTGTTAGCTTGGGGTATGAAACATGATTTTTCAAAATGTTCGGAGCAAATGGTGCTAGTCCGTTTAGGTATCCCGGAGTTATGATTTCTACAAGCAGCAATCCAAGTTTGCCGCCTAAGAGGATCTCTTGGAAATCTGTAAAAACAAACCAATAATAGAAAAATTTACTACTTTTTGTAATATGTACTTTATTATAAAATCTAAATAAAAACTTTAAACCGGTTCGGCAGACAATCCCGCACGGTTAATTATCTTATCGATAGCTAAAGTTGTGGCGCACATCACTATAGTGCAATACTTTCGGTTGCAGTGATACCAGTTTATTTTTATAAAAATTGCACACTTTTTCTGCGATGTAGCAAGTTTCTATTTAACTTATTTGGCCTTTATTTTGTATAATATTTTAATAAATAATAGTTATCGATTATATTAAATTATATAATATTCAGAATCTTGTTGAAATTGAGCTGAATATATAAATCATTTAACAAAATTCACCACACATCTGTATGTAATTATTATTATTAATCACAAACTTATTTAGTTATTATGGAATACATTTTCGTTAATATATTTAACTTGTGTAGTAAATTATATTTATATAAAAATAGATTATTTTTCACTTTATGAACTATGATGGCAACACTCAGTATTGGATGAAAATATTTAGAAAGTTCCAGTTTTAATGATAATATTACTTTCATATTATGTTAAAAATACTCACATATGAAAAGTCACGTTGTCCTTTTGTAGATTTGATGTTTTTGATTGTTTTTTGCATGTAAATACACTGCAACTCGGCATTTTGTCGGAGCTCGATTTACTGGCACGATCACTTGCGGTATGGCGCACGACGCGGAGCGACTAGTTTTATATAACGAGCATGAGTCGGACTCTTGTACCTTTTACAGAGGGGTATCCCATGCGATGGCGTCTCCTTTGGTTTAATACTTAAAGGGGCGCATGCGTTCCCATTGGTCGTAACGCCAGCAGAGTTCGATGGCCGCCTGTGTACCTATTGTTCTCATCGACGGCGGCATGGGTGGAGTTTTTTTTTAAAGAATATTAACAATGCTATAAACATTACTAATATTCCCCTTAACCACTCGTGGTAAGCTTAAATTGCTTGTGTTACGAGTGGTTCACGCCAGTAGTCGAATGGCGAATTCGAACCCACGCCACGACCTTTTTGAGTTCGCGGTCCGCGCCCTGCCATCGGCTACTGTCGCTTAAATGAAGTCGCGGAGTTCAATGGCCGCTTGCGCATGTATTGTGTTCGCTATGGATACGACCAATCAGTGTGTAGTTTAAGATAAACAACATATTGCGATTTTAATTATTATTAATTATTTTCACCTATATTTAAGCAATGTTTCCAATGCAATGATATGTTATTGTGTATTCTTGTCTGACTTGTAGTTGCGTGTTAATAAATATAGTTATTAGTGGTCTGCAGTAATTTATTTGCTAATTATAACGACATATGATCCTATTCCTACGCACTTACACTTGTGTAAAGTCCTGCAAGTGTCTGATGGGGTACCTGTCCGGGATTGTGCGTGCGTTCAATAAACGGAAATCACCGCAAGGTCTTCAGCCATCGTTCTTCTTGCGAGCTAAATGCAGTGGCGAAGACCAAGGGCTATCGGATCTGCGCACTGTGCCGTTTTGTAGCATCTCGTCAAACTCCTGCTTTGCAATCTTCAAACGCTCAGGGTCTAAGCGACGCGGACGGCCGGTTACAGGTGGGCCCGGAGTAGTGCGGATGTAGTGTTCCTTTGAATGTTTAATTAACTTTTGCTTACCAGTAGGACGAGTGAGGTCGGGAAACTCTCTCAGCAGACGATGGTAAGCGCAGTCGTCGATGGTTGTTCGAACAGATGAGATTGCCTCTGTTGAAGTATGACGTGGTACAGCAACTGTGAGCGACGTTACGCCATCGATCAGACGCTGGTTACGGCAATCGACTAGTAGGTTGTAGTGACCTAGAAAGTCAACGACGATGATGGGCTTCAAGACGTCGGCTGTGGTGAATCGCCAAGTAAAAGCTCGTCGAAGTCCTAAGTCGATTGTTAATGGCAAGTAGCCATAAGTAGGGATAATTGTTCCGTTGGCTGCGAACAACTCGTACTTTGTCTTGTTTCGTGGCTCCCGAACAGCGAATCGCGGAAAGATGTACAGGTCTGAACCTGTATCGATGAGATATTTCACTTTTGTTTTGCGGTCCGTAATGAACAGGCGGCTCGAAATCGCTAGGCAGTCGTTTACCGCCACTAATGGCTGCGTTGGTAGTTTCCCTTTTTCAGGTAGGTACAGGGTTGAGTACACTTCTATGCTTTTTCACCAAACCGGTAGTGGTAGAAACAATGCGGGTGATCGCTAGGACGTGAGCGTGAACGGGGGCGGTATTTTTTTTCTCGAACCGTTAGAGCGTGAACGTGAACGCCTACGTAACTCCATACTCATTGCTTCCACTTTTTGGCTGAGCTCTGTCACTGTCCGCGTTAAGGCTTCAATGGTGTTATTAATTGGGGCCGTAGGTGTAGATGACGTACTAGCTACTTGCGCAAGTACTTGACTGTTGGCTAGCATAGTTGGAGAAACAATGTCATTTACCCGGTCTGCAAGCTCGGCCAAGTCTTCTAGCGACATCTTCGTTTACTGCGCGGCGATGCAGGTCTGCAGGAGTGTAGGAAGTCGGCTTGCCCACATTGTTCTGATGAACTCAGCTCATACATTTGCTCCAGCAAGGTGATGCAAATGCCGGAGGAATTGCGTCTGCTTTCTGTCTCCTATCTCATCGTGCATTAACAGCTGTTTGATCTTTCGTTCCTGGGAAGCGGACAGTCTTCGTATCAGCTCCGTCTTCAAAGTATCAAACTTGTTTGCGGCCGGTGGGGAAACTATTAAGTCTCGTACTTCTGCTGCGTGTTGCGGTTCTAGCTGTGCCAGGAAGTAGTAAAATTTCATGGCGTCAGCGTTGATGCTGGACAACGTGAACTGCCCTTCCAGTTGCGCGAACCATAGTTCAGGGCCACCAGGATTGAACGGGGGTATTCTTACCCCAACTCGGCAGGATTCTCCCAAAACACTAGCCTTGGCACCATCAGCTTGCATCTTCTTCGAGGTCTTGAACGTCGGTGTCACCAGTGTTAAGTGCGTAAGAGTAGGATCATATGTCGTTATAATTAGCAAATAAATTACTGCAGACCACTAATAACTATATTTATTAACACGCAAGTACAAGTTAGACAAGAATACACAATAATATATCATTGCGTTGGAAACATTGCTTATATAGGTGAAAATAATTAATAATAATTAAAATCGCAATATGTTGTTTATCTTAAACTACACACTGATTGGTCGTATTCACAGCGAACACAATACATGCGCAAGCGGCCATTGAACTCCGCCCATGCCACCGTCGATGAGAACAATAGGTACACAGACGGCCATCAAACTCTGCTGGCGTTACGACCAATGGGAACGCATGCGCCCTAATGAGCGGGCGTTGCTTAGCGAAGACGTAGATATCGTCGGATGTATGACGTAGTGGTGGCGTGATGTTTAAGCGCTTATTACACTATACAATTTTTAGGAAATCTA